CCCTTTACGACATCAATTACTGCCAAAGTCGCGCCTCGGTATTGAAACGTGATATTGGCAGCATTGAACTTGTAGGAACCCCAGTTGGCTGAGTTCTTGATCTTGATTTGGGTTGTGAATTTGGTGTCAAATGAAGGCGTTGCCGAGACAGATTCAAAGCTTTGGACGTTGATGTTGCCCAGCCTAAACCTGGGGTTCTTAACTTTCATCACAGTGAGACTCATTGCCGTGATAACTATGATCTGAAACACAACGAAAATAGTAATATAGATGGCCAATTTGATTTTCTTCTGGCGTTTCAGCTCATCAGCGGAATGCAAAGATTCTGCATCACCCATGTTGATTTCTTTTAGTTGAAGGAAGGAAAGCTTCAAAAGAAAATGCTCTGGTTTTTCTCTGTTTCGCTCTGTAAAATATGAAGTGATGAGAAAGTGTATTGATTGTGAGAATGTTGGTGAGGGCTGTGTGGTATTTATAGACAATCTGGTTAATAAGTTAGTTGCAGGAATAATATGGAGGGTGTAAACTTCCTGGAAATTGGAATCAAAACGCGCGAATAATTAATTGGGTTGTAATTTATTGACTTCTAGAAGCCTTACTATTATTTGAGAACGTGACTTGAAACGTTATTATACTATTATAGATTTGCTGCGCGTATTGACCCTTTGAAAATGTGAAACTGATAAGGAAGAGAAAAAACAAGACTTTTCTCTTTGTAAGCTATGTCATGGCATTGGCATTGCCATAAAAACTTCATCTCACACAGATTATTATTGTTGTGAGCTCCTCATGGGAATGATTTGACCCTCTCTAGTCTCTAGAAGGCTACAAGTCAAAACCTCAAAACCATGCGCGTTTGGTTACATTTTGGCATTTCCAGGAAAGAAATTTCAGTTGCATTGACACAAACTAAACCACTATTCAATCAGATTGTCCAAAGTTCCGAACCGCTTCTTCCCTTTTCTTTCTCTGGTGGCTTGTAAATTTGTAAAGAACACTCCTTTTACAATCAATCACTTATGTGGCCAAATAAACTCGTATACAAGAGGTCGTGAAAATTAATCGTTGACTTAGAAAACCTGAAGAACCGGTTTTCAGAAAGGTTTGATGAGAACCAAATATGTACACATTTGTATGCTTACAAGATTATTTTTTTTTGGGTTCGAAAACAAGGATTGAATACAAAAAATGGAGAATATGTACCAATTTGAAATAAACCCCAAATGTTGGAGAATATATCATTGAAGAATTTTATGTAGTTAACCCTAAATTATAGGGAGATTCACTATTATACCCGATATAGGGGCTCAAATTATATTAAAAAACACTATATGAAATGGACTTGAGAAACACACCCAAAGCCCATTTACAACATAACAAAGAGGCTTTTAACTTCTTATAAATTACAAAACTGCCATCAATTTCTTAAAACAAGCTCAACCCCAAAACCTCATAAAAATACCCAAAACACTCAATAAGGTATCAAACTAATTTAATAATCAAAATTAAATTCAATAAGGTCAGCTGTCATTTTTTGGGTTTTTTTTTTGTTTGTTTATAGAAATTAAATGGTGTAAGGTTTATCTATATTATTAATGCTAAAAATGGGCATATGACTAAATATCTCTAGATTATATTCATCGTCCCACATTTTTGGACTTGAACCAGCTCAACTGGACCAGTTTAGATTCCTTCTTTCTTTTTGGGTGCGGTACTCTTGAGGTTTTACATTCATAATACGTAGCCAGTGCTGGCCCTGGACAAGGGTGAGCAGTGTGACCGCCCTAGGCCCATTGTCCAAGGGACCCATTTTTTTTCCTTTTAATATATGTATTTTGTTAGGAAATATATGTATTATATGTTATTGATATTGAATTAATTTTTTGTTTATCTTATCTTAATTTAGTTTTATGAACATTTTAACTTTAAAATATAAAAATTCGGAAAACAAAATTTTGTTTCATAAATATGAACGAATTGTGGGTATTTATCGAGTTTTCAAATTTTTTTGGGGGGATTGGATATGATTTAGATTAATTAATACTAGCCTCTCCAGAAGTGCGGAGGCTTTTTTAAAAAAATTAAAATTTAATTTAGAATTAAAAAGATAATGGGTAGTTGTGTTCCATAAAAATAGGATCCATTATCTTATTTTTCTTTTAATTTTAATTTTTTTTAATATGAAAAAGTGTGAATTTACCATATTATCCTCATTTAATTAATAATTTCAATTCTTAATGTTTGCATTAACCAATGGCATTCTCTGGTATTTTGAATGTTTTACCATTCTCTGCCTTTTGTTTTATATATATAGATTAACACTTTGATCATTGGATCTTCTTTTACTGTTAGGTTTATTTAGACTAAATCTAAGGATGGGAGTGAAAGTTATAAAACCTTGCAAATACTTATAAGGAGTTGGGCTATTTCCCCCATTGTCAATTGATTTTGAGATAGAACCTCAATTTCCTTCTGGAGGTAACCATTAGGTTTTCATTTCAAAAAATATTTTGAATTATGTTATTCGATCACAACGGTCAGATCATCTCAGCGTAAAACAAAGTTAAAGATGTCTTGCTAGTTGCGGACCAAAAATGTTGTTGATGCTAACGTGTGATGGTCTGATTTTCTCCCTCCCTTTCACATAGATTCGGTCCGCTATTAAGTGAAAACCACCATTTGGGTTGAACGGGAATCATTTTTGCTAGTTTGCCCGAACTGTAATAGATCTTAAATTTTGGCCTGCTCCAAACATGCATTGGGTTGGAGATGGCCTGGAAAGGGATTGATTGGTTGATACTAAATACCAATAATTTACAATACTTTTCAAAGATTATCGACTCAAATTCGATCAAATGTCGACTAAATAGAGTTTAGACTTGTGGGTTTTAAAGAAGGGGAAAGAAAAACATTTGGGGATTGTCAAGTGGGACTGTGGGTGGGGTAGTTTTCCACGTAAAGATGCTAATTCTTATCTTCTGGAAGAGAAAGACGCCTTGAGAATAATATTACAAGTTGACGGCTTAGCGTGTGGCGTACCTGCAATTAACATTATAGATATCTTTTATCATAAGATAAACAAAGGACTATCAAGAAAGGCTGTCATGTTGGAAACGTCCGTGAAAAAGGCATATGGACAAAAATGGATGGGGCTGTTTCTGCTTCCATGAAGCAACAGCAGCCTTTGTAGACCGTCAAACATTAAGCGCAGTATGGAGATGGTAGGGTCGAGATATAATTGGGTTCAGTCGCATTTGTGTTGCCTTACTAACAACAAACAGCACAATTTCATGGTCCTTATCTTTTCTTTTCTTTTTTGGTCTAGTGTGTCCTTATCTATAGTCTCTCCATTCTATAATCATCAACACATCATTCTAACTATGTAATTAAAGAAAGGAAAAAGTATGGCTCTTTAAAATTCGGGAGGAGCTTCATCTCACAACAAATATAGAGTTTTAAAAAAAAAATTATTCATTATTACTTCAATGAGCACATAAGTGACATAACCTATTGAGAAAGGATTTTTCTATACAATGCAAATTATAAGAACATAGTTGTAATAGTTAAATTTATGGGTTTATCGTCCCCTAATTCTCATTTAACATACCTATTTTACTACGGTATGGACTAATTACATGCAATTACAGTGTTTTCACATCCAATAGAAATAAACATATTGATGAAAATATTTTTTTGGGGCCGAATTGATGAATATTAAGTATTCAACAAGATGTTTAGTTCTTATTTGGTCCACCTCTGGTGATTCTTGCTTCATTGGTGTAGTTGCAATTCATGGTTGTAGAGGTCGAGATTGACGACACCGCTAACACATGCTCGATTGTGGAAATTGTAGGGTATCGTCCTTGTAAAAAAGGATGTTGAAAGTGTCTCATACTTGATAGAGTAATAACACATGCTTTGTACAAGCTTCTGCATGTAATAACCTGCTTTGAATAAAGAATTTATTTATTAACAACCAGAATATATCATCTCCTAGCATATATATTGCTCTCCTCATTATAGGTTTTCATAGCATATTCACCTTCCCAATTACTTTAATTTACTCCAACATCTTATATTAGCCAAAAAAAATATGTAAAAACCATCAAGTTTCATCACTTTTATCTCCTCAATTGAGGATCCCTATATATAATGTAGCCTCTGTTTACAGACATATATATGTCTAATTGGTTGCCTTCAGTACATGCTATAGCTATAGTTTCAATTATAGATTGCTGAGTGCTCGAATAATGTGATTGAACTAAAAGCATGACTTTTGATGAAAGTAGCATGAGCATGACAATAGTTCTCACGACCAATGTATGACATGAATGTATTTGAATTCGTTTCTCAAGCATGTTCATAGAGAAAGGGACTCTGGCAGATCATTGACTACTTCTTGTGTGTTTGCTAGATGATCATTGATCTAGTTAGGGTTGCGAAGCCCAGGCTATTTCTGTTGTTAAGCTTTGGGCCCAAAATCCACCCCCGAAAAGGAGAGTGTTGAAAAGCCTTAGCCCACTTAAAAACCAGAGCTTGACCTTAGCATTGAGGCCCTCTATAACCAAAACAAGAAGAAAAAAAAATACAAGCGATATTGAGGAGGGGGAAATCAAACCTAAGACTTCGAGTGCATAACTAAAACAATTCTTGAAAAGCCTTAGCCCACTTAAAAACCAGAGCTTGACCTTAGCATTGAGGCCCTCTATAACCAAAACAAGAAGAAAAAAAACATACAAGCGATATTGAGGGAGGAGGAAATCAAACTTAGGACTTCGAGTGCATAACTAAAACAATTCTATAGTTCTATAACGATTAATTTGTGAATGATTTATGGAAGTATATTTTTAAAAATAAAACAGAATTCAACTTTTACATTACAAGCTGTTTGTTTCAAATCAAAGTTACTGGTTGGGCTAGCCTAAAATATCTTTAAACAGAATCATTTTAAAAGTTTAAAACAATGGACCCACTTCTTTACTTTACACTGGATGCCAAAATCTTCCAAAGATACTTCAATCTTATCTTTCATTCATATGGATCTGATGACCACAGTGAAAAATAAAAATAATTAAAGTATGATCCTCATTTACAGGCAAAATTCTATTATTGTAAAAGTAAGGTTATAATAAAATAATTGCACTGCATGGGATCCTCTGCAGATCATCATAATCATACACATTCTAGAAGGATTCTCTGAGCCCACTTCACAAAAGGAGGAGATGAATCACTCAAACAGACAAAAGCCATCTCACCCCCACCACCTCCATAAGTCCAAAGAACCTTCTTCCTTCTTTTGCTTCTTCCTTTTTCCCAAACTGTCTTCTTCTACCCCCACCTATGAAAATGTCTTCTTCCATTAGCAATCAGGTCAACTTCTGGCTGTACCGCACTCTAGCTCTCTACTAGCTCCCCAACAATGACATTTCTTTTTGGTCACCTTCCCACCTATCATCTCTAGCCAAGTGTACAATGCAGGCCCATTGCAGCATTCAAATTCCTATTGTCTTCTCACTAATCAGAATATTTCTTCTGCTAGTGCTTCCTTACTTTATAATAATTTATATGGCTAAATACTAAATACATAATATTCTGTATAAATACATATTTATATACTTGAATTTTTTTTTCCTTTCTTTTTCTACCCAAGACTGTACAGAAACCCTTTTCTTATTTATCAATCTAAGATTATTTCAAAATTTTCTTACTCTGCAGGTGAAGGGAGGTGTGTTAGCTAGAGGTGGATTTGAATGGAGAAGCTATATAAAGTGGTAGCTATATATGTATTCCCAGAGTGCTTTAAAAGTGCTCCTTGTGGAATTCGAACTTGGTTGAACCTTTTTGATTAAACTCATAGCAGAGCTGGCTAAGTTCTTTGGCCAAAACTGGTGCTCCACAATAGAAAACACCTGTTCCAATATTTCAACACAAGTATCAGTATTCACAGAAAGCAAACTCTGCATAATTATATATGTGTGTGTGTGTGTGTGTAGAGATATAGCTCTAGAACATTGACTTACCAATCTTTGCATTACAGTGCTTTGAGCAAGTTTTTGAGAAAACTTTCTTCCAATTAGGCCTTGCAAAATGAGTTCTTACCTATTTATAAGAATCAGGAATACATAATCAGTAAAAGTACAATGGACCATTTTTCCACTCAGTTTTTGTGACTTTTTTCTGTCAAGCAATAAAACTATTGAGAAATTAAGGCATTGGTTGCAGTTTCAGGTGCTACAAAATTATACCAGAGATCAAAACTCTTACCCTTGTGCCAGACACAATGTCGACCCCATTCTTAGCATGGTTGAGAGCTTGGACCATGGTGATGAGTGTTGATCGAGCGTCGCCTTCCTCGTACACGCTGGTCAAGTAGTTGTGCATCTCAATGACACCCTGAAATTAAATCAAAAGTCATGACAAAGTTAGCATTAATCAAACTCAGGTTCAACCATAAACGTATGTGTTTCCACAGAACATGTCCAATTACCCTTTGATCCTGTTCTGCAACTTCATTCATCACTCCTTTGAACCAATCAAATGAGCCTTGCTCCCTCGTCACCCAATAAAAGTAGGCATTGGTGGTCTTCAGAGTCTTTTTCCGTCTCGGATAAACCTTGTTTGGATTCGGAGAATCTGTACTCCCAGCACTTAGGTCTGATGCTCTACTCATATCTGAAAGAGAGTCCTGAAGAGGAAAGAAAGCAGAATTGTGAGTTTGCAAATTCCAGTCATTCAAAGGACTTGGTGACTATAATAAAAGTTTGGGATATTGACAAGCTATGCATACTTACTGCCTGCTCTTCCATTTTGACAATATTGTTGAGCAAATCTTTTAGAATACTGATGAAAGGCGTTGCGCCGATTCCAAGACCAACAAGTAGCAGGACATCATATTTCCGGTAATCTTGTGCTGGGGCACCATAAGGTCCATCTATTAAAAGCTTGGGCAAACTGTTGTACAAAGAACTTATATTTAGATATTATACTAGAAATATGACCAAAATAAGAAGGAAGAAATCTGAAACAATTCAAGTAATGCACGATATACACCTTGTCTTGGTTGTTTCATCAGCCCTTAGGAGGCCGCTCTTCCCAGCTAAGGGAGGCTCACAGGCTTCTGAGAAAACTCTCTTAAGCTCTTGTGTCCAGTCACCAAGCTGACGAATGTGAACACTAAGGTAGTCATCGCCGGGAGCTGATGTAATCGAAAATGGATGCCTGACATGCGAAAAAATAACACATCAGCATACTGAATTGAGAAAGTCAGGCACAATGTCGATACACAATTGACACAATTTTATCAAACAGGGGATTGGAATTGAATGCCTCATGAGAAGAGTAGTATTATTCATTAATGGTGACCTACCACTCAAAGGGAGAAACAGCTGGGCACTGGACAAACATGTACTGTCCACTTTTGTATTTGAACTGGGGAGGCTTAGACATTTGCAATGTGAGAACATTTCCAGGATAAATAGCAACCTATACAGCAGGTTCATAATTAATATCTGATCATATAATTCAGAAGAAAAAATGTAATTTACTAGCGAAGAAGTAGCAGAATATGCTAGTTTTTTAACTAACAAAATTGTGCACTTATGCTCACCTTCAGAAGATGAACAGTATAGAAGCCAGACCGGAAGATTCTCAGGGTCCTTTCTCCAGCATATAGTAAAATAGGAACAGAAATATACATCCAAGTCTGAAACATGAAGATAACTCTCTTAGTTAAGCAATTTAAACATAATGACTGCAATATTTGAAGACAGAGGATCTCAAATTATACCGTCTTAAGGTACCATGTGTGCACCATGTAGAGGAAAACGCCGTGGATAATGAGCAAGGCGTAGACAATGACAAATAAGTGATGGGAATACCAGAAGGCATTGAAGCCAGTGAGCCTGTTAAAGGGCTTGGGAAGCTTAATAATGCTGCGCCTGAACCATCGTGTAGCGAGTGTGAAAGCAATTACCATGCACGTCAGCATTATAATTCCAGTCACGCCCTCAGCTCCTTTGATCAAATCTATATATTTGGGTTTATGTTTTCCAAAGTCTTGAACCAAATACTTGTCGTAGTCCGATATGGAGACCTCTATAAGCCTTGGAAAATCACAGGCAAGATGGTTCCCAGCATGGAGAATGACACCAACTACAATGGCTGCAGCAATGGTCTGCAAAGATTTATCAAAGTAAAGCACAATTTAGAGGGATGACACATACGTTCAGGCGTTCGATCGCGTTAGAAATGAGCTTAATTAGATGGTGATTAACAGAATTGATTCAATTCAGGACCTCTACAAAATCAAGTACTCTGTCATTGTGCTGTTAAACAGTCTCACTTTGATGTGTCATGAACTCGTGATGGTACTTGAAGAATCTTTTAGCCAAAACCTTTATACATAAAGAGATTTCTATGTCACAATGCGATCAACACATGTGTCATGTAAACCATTACACCAGACATAGCACTGAGCCACAATGCAAGGATTTTTTTTTTTTTCAATAGAACCAAATTAGTTAAAATTATTGCCCAAAAAAAGAAAAAAAAAAAATCAGTACTCATGGCTGGCTATGCACAACTCCTGTGAGTTTTCAAAATTTGTGTAAACCCTCAAGTACCCAATGAATATTTGGGTAAACTCCCCTCGCCCAATCGCTTGTATTCGAAAAAAAAAAATTCCTATGGGTTTCCACAATTATGTATTGACCAAATTATATCACTATAATTAATTGTTTAATTCAATGGTTGTAACTTAAAATTAAATTGCCATATAAAAGAAAAAATTAGAACTAAATTGAATGGTTCACTCAGATTCAAGTCTATGAATATTTTAACCTTTAATCTTAAGAATATGCATGTGTTTTTCATTATTTGTCAAACCTAGAATAGCAAACAGCAACAAAATTAGATTCTAGTGATCAGTGAGTCAGTGACCATTCCGTTCTTTGAAAGCCCCTTCTAAAAATTTTAGTATAAGCGTGGCATCTTGCATGGGTGACACTTGTCTCTTCGCATACTGAAAGACTGGATGGATCTGATCTATAGACCTACGACACTTTATATATCAAGAAAAAAAAATCTAATATTTAAATTTCTTTCAACCACCGATTGTGCAGACATCACCATCGTTTATATGTCTCTTTTCTTTTGTTTTTGGGTCCATATAGTAAGTGGAATATTAGCTATCGGATCATGAACAATTAAGATATCATCAGAACAAATTTGATCAAATTAAAATACCATGTTTTAATTATAGTCTGTGTATTATGTTATGAATTAATCATTAATCACGTCTTCTATATTTTGTTAACAGTATGAATGTGTTTTTTTTTCTTTTTAATTAATTCCTATTCATAAAGAACATGTGGTGTTATTATTTGTCTGGGACAAAAGTTAGAACCTTAGTCAACACGCGCATGCAGAGCATTGCTTTAGTTTTTCACGAGAATGAGTTGAAGTCAATGCGTTTTGGTTTCCACTACTTAATTTTCTTTTCCTTTTAGAAAATATTTTCCTCCTTATCATAAAAGCAAGAGCGTTTATATTCCTGTCAATAACAGTGTGACATATATGCAAACATTTTCTTTATGTATTTTTTATGAATTATTTTTACATATGTGTCAATTTATAATTTACTAAAAAGGGGCAAGCAGTATCCTTTTCCTTTTACCCTATAAACGCAGGTGTATAAATTATAATGCTAATTATTTCGTCCAATTTTTTCATTGACGTGTCATGCTCATAACCAATTCACTATTTTCTTCTAAGCAACAAAACTCTCATTATAATGGCTCATGGCGTTGACCTTAAATATTATAAAGTCTCCCCTAAATGGGCCCCAAGATAAGTGACAAACGTATAAAATAAGCAAAGACATAGAATTTTCAAGGTTGGTGGTATAATTGTGCACCTTGTGGAAGTTGATGTTGTCGTCAAAAGGCACAAAGAACCCTAGCCTGGTGTTCCTGAGCCAAGTGATGGTGTTTCGACAAACAGGCAATAGCACCAGAGCCATGTTGAATTTCAAAGTCTCGGCAGCGCCCTTAGCCGTGAGAAGGCAATAACCCATTACATGAAAAGCTTTTTTCTGCTTGTACTGGTAGAACTTCCATGTGAAGAGCCCGATCATAATGGCAACCCACAATGTCAAAACCCAGATTCTCCTCCAGTTTTCCTGCAAATAATAGAGCAGTTTTGTGCTCATTCTGCGTATTGGACTTCTCCTTCTCAGCCCTTGGAGGTTTTGGCTTAGAGCTTGGCTCGTGTAGCTCAGTGCTTGGCTGTAGTTTAGGTACGTGTCCTTTTGTAGTAGAAGGGTTTCCAATTGCCACAGCTGCATCAACATTTCCATCATTAGAGGTTGACGATATTACACATCAGAATAGACGTAAAATTAGACCAGTTAGTCATGACAATGCGTCGGTCACTTTGCACTCAAATTCGAGCCATCCTAGATTAGTATAAATCAAAATATTAAAGAAAAATTTAAAGATATCAGAAAATCTGCATGATGTCAACCAGAACACTATAACTGGTGGGGAAATGGCACACGTGTGCCTACGTGTTTGAGTGAGAATTAAGATTGCAAACAGAAAGGCCACATGGGAACACGACTATATGTGAAGGTCAGAAATGCCACTAGCAAAAGTGCAGTAGGTGAGAGGATGATTTTCAGTCTCGATTGAAATTGCGATAATACCCTTTTGAAATATACAATGTCTAGTCACATCTGTACATTATTCCAACATATCCGCTAAATTTGGCTTTAAAATTTAATAATAAGATATATTTTGACGAAAATAAAAAGAATAATGTTTGAAACAGTCGTGAAGGCTTTTTTAGAATGGGAAAGATGCATGGGTGGATCACCTATTTGCCAGCTTAATTAGGAAATTAAATCCCTCACTAGGTTGAAGTCTTCGGAATTGCTCCAACTACTTCTTATAGCCTTATTGAAGCAAATTTTGCATAGACAAAATAACAAGTCTCAATCAAACACTTAGCAGCAGCGATCAAAAAATTCAGGCAAATATAGAAGTAAGGTGGCCAAGGAATGAGAAAATAAGAGGCCTAATAAGTCAACAATAACGAAAATGGTTCAACTGTCATTGATGTTTCTCCATAGAAGTTTGGAAGAAGAAAAAAAAACCCTCAAAGATTAGCTTTTGGTACCAAATTTCCAACACAGTTAAGTTGTTGAATAGAAAGTTAGGTGCTTCTCCATTCGTATACGGTTGAACTACATGAAAAAAATCTAAAGAAAGTTAAAAGGAAAAAGTCAAGTCTAACTGGTCAATACCCTATTCGACGAGTGATTATAGCATATTACGGTAGTACGACAGCGTGGTACATCTTGTACATGTGTTATAATATAAGTAGATATTTATTGATATTATTTCCTAAAATGGGGAAAATAAATCATGTCGGCCATTCATATTATAACAGATGTACAAGATATACCACATGGCCATACTACTATAGTATTCTCTAATTTCTCCTATTTGACATATAATAAACCAACCCAATTAATTATGTGACAACACTAATTAATTTACACATGATTAAAAGTCGTACTATAATAAACAAAGAAAAGACTCTAGTTTTTACAGTTTAATAGTCTCTACATAAAGAAAAAAAATCCAACAAAAATTTGTAGCAAGGGACCCACCTCAATGTAGCCAAGTCTTTCGGGATCCAACTCTTCCATGATGAGAGCTGCATATTCCTCTGCTTGTTCCTTCAATCTCGATAGCTTGTTTGCGGAGGCACTCAACATGATAATCTAACCATTCAAAATTTTAAAATAAAGAAATTAAAAACCAAATAAAATAAAAAATTTGTAGTTAATAAATATTGTTTTTTCCCAGCAAACACTGACTTCATATTAAAAACGACGACCGAATTAGTACCAGAAATAGACTAAAAAGCCCCCACCAACCCCACTGAAAACGATAAGACCATTCCCAAAAATTTGATAAAAAAGAGGAAATTGAACATGCCATGTGTCCAATATCAAACATCCAATAATAATAATAATAATAATACCCAACTAATAATAGAAAAAGATGCCTTCGAACATGGTAAACATCATAAGCCAGAGAAAATTGAAAACATTTTAATTCCTTTAAAATGGATTTATTATTGTTAATTGAAGTGTGGTAGTTAGTTTTGGAATTTTCATGTATTTATGGTCACCCAATCCCGCCTACCCTGGGATTATTTTATCCCAAATGACACCCTGTAGACCATGAAATGAAACCACCAAGAAGCTTATTCAAGACTCTCGTATAATTTGAGTCAGCCCCGTTGGGTCGGCGGAGAAGTGTTAGGCTAATGGATCATGAGCCATAATTTATATTATTAATTTAATGTGGCTGCTTAAGCATGTTCAAAGGTTGATTCAAAAAATGGGGTACCTCTTTTACTTCCTCTTCAGTAATTCTACCATCTTCATTCTTGTCCACCCTGTGAGAATAAAAATGCATAGAAAAAACATTAATGAATTGAAATGACGGTTTTGCCCTGAATGAATATAATATTAAGGTTGAACAAATGATTGATGACTTTAATTAATTACTGCGTACATGTCGAAGAAGATCTGAAGCCGCGAATCGAAGCTTTGATCGGAAATTTGGGACCAGAACTCGTAAAGCTCGTCCTTGCTGATTTTGTCCACCTTCATTCTCCGTCTCCGGCCCAACGCATCGAACAGCTCCAGAGCAAACTCCTTCGAATCTCTCATTCCTTCAAAAAAAAAAACCAAAGATTTTAATGCACAAAAATAACAAACTGTACGGTCATTTTCTAAAAATCGTAACCAAAATTCAAAATGCAGCGATGAATTGAAGTAGTTTGGAGTGGTTAGTACCGATGCATTGAGCAAAATCGGAGCGGAGGAGCTGGCCGTCTTTGGCGAACTTATTGAAGCTGGCCTCGACGTCGTTCCAGGCGTCGACGCCATTAAACTTCGTGCTCTTGCAGTTGCTGATGAACCTCAGCCCGCGAAGCGCCTTCTGCGCCCCAGACCGAGTGCGGTCCAGCTGAGCTCGCTGCCGCCTCAGCGCGCGAGCCTCCAGCGCCGAGTCGAACGTGCCGGTGGAAGTTCCGGCACCGGCATTCTGAGAAGCCGAAGCCGACAGAACGCGCGAGGCGTGGCCTTGGCTCCACGAAAATCTCCGCAGCTCGGCTTTAAGCTCCTGAGAGAACTGCTTCGCCTTTGCCACCGCCTCGGCTTTCAACTCCTGAGAGAACTGGCGTATCCGATTGTTGGAGGAGCTTCGGCGCATCGTCGACGGCGACCGTGAAGCCGAGGCCGAGGCAGAAGCCGGAGTTTCTGTTCCGGATGAGGCGCCGACGCCGGCGAGGTCGTCGATGTGAATGACGGTGGCAGGCTCGACGCTGCGGAGGACGATGGTGTTGTCGTCCTGTAAATCGAGAGTTACTTCTACGAATTCCTGATCGGCCCCGGAGCTCGAATCGTCGGTCATGGCCGGCGAGGTTCCGGTGCTGACCAGCGACTTCTCAGGAACCGAGTCCGAGGCCCATCGGCGCTCGTGCCTCGGATGAGACCTCATTGATGAGAAAGAAACTCAAATTGGAAACAAACAGTGACTTATAATAATATGTATTGATAGGGTGGTGGTGATAAGGAGTGATATAATATAAAAATGTGAGGGAAGGGTGGGAGGGGTTTATAAGATGTATATGGAAATGCAGAGGAGAGAGTGATGAGTGAGAGAGAGAGTTTATTTTTTTCAGTTTGTTTAAAAAAGAAATGGGAAAACAAGTGAAGTCGTCGTGGAACGCGGTTTGTTCGGAATCTCACGGAAAAGACATGTAACGCGGAGCGCAGCAATTAGACAGAGAGGAAAAAGAGAAAACAGACAAACCTACAAGCTTTGTAGCAGAGAAAGAGAGGGAGCTGAAAAAGGGGACCCTATCCCCGGGACCATGCAAAACGATATAACATCCACCCAATATATAATACATGTATTTATACGTGTAAGATGGAAGCTCCTCGAATGAGTTATTTCAGAGACATTATGGTAAAGTTCTTTTATGTCTTGTATTTTAATAATATAAATCGTCTATTTTTAAGCATTCTTCTAAAGATTGTATCTGAAAAATCAGTCGAATACGAAACTATTTAATCGCTCAACTAAATTATTGTCACGTTAGTATTTTCTTGAAATAATGTATTCGTCTATACTATCTATTTTTTGTAAAAACAAACTTTAAGTGAAGACTTAAATATAAACCATTTGGATATCTGAGGCACAATGCGTTATGGATCTCTGAAAATGTCCCCAAAATCTATTAGTAGAAGCGGACTCATATGGAATATGTTAAATTTTCCAGGTTAACGGGCCGAGAGCCCACTCCAACAACACCGATACTGTCCCCACTTTACCACCTGCACAATCCTCAGGTGTGGGGTTTTATCACAAAAGGCCTCGGTATTAGTTAGAGAGGGGTATTTCTATTTAAACTACTTTCTCTTTGGCCCTCTGGCTGATGTGGGACAACAATGAGTTCCAACACTCCCCCGCACGTGAGACCCCATTTTTATGGGTCACACGTGGAGATCCACATCGGCAACCACGTGGAGCCATGTAGGGACTCACCCATCGCGCGGGGCCAAACGGGGGCCCACCCATCACGTGGCACCTTTAGCCTACGTGGAGCCAAACGGGGACTCACCCATCGCGCGGGGCCAAACGGGGACCCACCCATCACGTGGCAAGTACGGGCCCGCAACCTGGCTCTGATACCATGTCAAATTATCCAGGTTAACGGGCCGAGGGCTCACTCCAACAACACCGATACTGTCCC